GTTGCTCAGGTTCCCGTGGAGATGGAGACTCTCGATAAACAATATTTTGTCTGACAACTGCAGCCTTTCATCACAGCTTAACATCTTTTTGATGTAATTTATCAGGGACTGCTATTGATAACGTTATTTTTTGTCTGTCTTTGGTTACCAAACTGGAAATGTATTTGCCATGTCTGGATTTTTGTTGCAGTTGGATGTGATTTAAGTTCAGCTGAATTCAGCTCCAGATTTTTACATATAATCAATGTCCCTAAAAAGGGGAGTGGCGGCCTAGTGGTTAGGGCATAACGCTTGGAATCCTGAAGTTCTGAGTTCTAGCCCCACTCCCACAGGCTGGCAGCGCACTCTGAGCAAGACCCTTAACCCCACACTGCTACCAGCGCACCCCACGATAGCAGCCCACTGCTCCCCAAGGTGATGGGCTACATGCAGAGAGTACATTTTTCCAATGTGAGATCAATAAAGTTAAATTATTATCAGTATTATTATCTGCTGCCAACATCATTTCAGGCCCCTTTAGGGGACAAATACGTCTTTTTTTAATTTCCATATGCTGTATAAAACAACACATTATGGTGGAATGATTGATTGTGCTTCATAGAAACACAAGAATGTGGTTTTCAGGTCAATTCTTCATTTTGGCACAAGGCATGATAACAAATATCTTAAATATCTATTTGTAAAGTTGTGCTCAATTGCATATTTTTTTATAACATATTCAACCTAAAAAGGCAACATATAATGACTATGGTTTGGATGAATGGGATTTTTTTAGGTGTCAGTTAAATACTGGGATGTATCAGCAGGACCAGCTGCTTTCAATGGGTCGCTTCTTTTCAGAGCCACCTGACTGTCAGCAGAGTTGATAAGGAAGACTGGAGGAAAACCAGTTCTTTTCCTGGTTATCAGACCTGATGCCTTTAAAACCTGTAGAAAAATCATGCGGCCTGTCTGCTAGAGAGACGCCGTGGTTCTGTAGCTGCTGCTGTATGCTTGTATTTGAGCTTCTATGGAAAAAAGAAACAACTAAACTAAAACAAAACTTTATGCTCATAATGGCTTCATGTAAATACATTAACAGAGATGATGATGTTTTAAAAAAAACAACCAAAAACATTAACCTTAATGGACCATGATTCTAACTGTCATTTTATTTTTGTCCAAACAACAGTTTGACTTATTCCAAATATTATTCAAATAAATCTCTGTGGTAGTTACAGGCCTATTATCTGCTTCGATCTAATCTATCATTATAGCTAGAGTGCAGCTGCACATGGTTCAGTGTAACCACGCATTCCTGTTGTGATCCTCCTTCTTTCCCTAGAAATAGGATCTCTTTGCTTGTTCACCAAAAGGAAATAAAAAGCTTGCAGTTATGAAGGAGCAGGTGGGTTATTTGAATAAACAGTTGTACCGTCTCATGGCTAGATCAACTCTTTTATTATATTGATTTATTAAAAGTATTGTATTTGTAGCTATTACTACAAAGCGGTAATTGGAATAAAAAGTCCAACCCCATGCTTTGCTTTAAGTACGTCTAAATGACTTCTTATGCAACTTGTTCATTTTGGTAACAATAATGTTTAAAATTTTATTATTTATTGATATACCTTTCTTTAGTTTTCCCTTTTTTGTATCTTTATTAACACTTTGCTTTTCAAAAATAAAAGTATGTTTGTATTTGATTACAGACGCTCCTGAGGGAGAATGTTTTTTCCTATTTCAACAACAAAGCAACGTCATTTTTGGTTCTCTCTTTAGGACTTTGGTGGGAAATGGGTTGAGTTTAATAATTATCTTATTTTTAAGATTAAAAAAATCCTCCTGGCAGATCATCATAATCACAAATGATGGGCAAACAGCCTTATTTTAAAAAGCTTATATGTATTTAGATCAGTTTTTATGGTGTATTAATCAGAGATTCATCCTTTGGACCAATTTATCATTTCCCTTTTATAATCGACTTTAATGGTTATTTAAAAATTACATTCAACTTTAAGAATATGTTGCACTAAAATAGGATCAGAGTTTTCATCTGTAATCTACAGCAGCATAATACACTAATGATGGCTCTGTTTTTTGTTTTTTTGTGAGTATGCTTTTCTTTTCTTCGCCCCCCTGAAAACCCACTACTCCACCTCTGGAACCGCCACCCGTCACTGGGTCTTTTTAATGATCGTATATTACAATTGTCCAAACAAAGGAATAGGAAGAATGTTTCACTCTTCCAAGATTCTTTTTTGAAACCAAACTTTCTTTATGTCTGAAGGGACCTAGATTGGTTGAAATGGTGCAGAAAATTAACTGATCAGCAGCATTCAAATGGATAGTTTGTTCCCTGATTAGAGGAATCATATTTAACCATCAATATCTGGGTGTTTTAGTGAAGGTCTGACGTTTGTATTAGGCCTAAGGAAAATAGACCGTTTGCAAGTCTTCAGTTCATAGAAGTCTACAGACTTGAAGGTAGAGTTGAACAGCTGCAAATGATCTGCAGAAAAACTTGAATCAGCCAATCAGATATTATTAAAAATATATCTGATATATATCTATCAAAAACAAATCCAAGGGGGCCCAAAAACAGAGCCCTGATCTGCACCTAAAATTAGATGATACTCTTTATATAAACACCTTAGCTACTCTAAAACTATTATGGAAATCTATTACCTAATATTTTGTGAAGTAAAGTGTAAAAGTTTTAACCAGGCCAGAACAATAAACTTTTATTGTAATTTTCACTTAAAAAGTCCTCTATATATGTTGAGCTTTAATTATTTGGTCGATTATTGACCTCCCTGACATTTGACTTTATGATCTTTAAAGGATCAGCATCTATAGGATTGTTTCCACTGTTCTTACGAGCAGCCATCACTACGTTAAAAGCAAAACTAAAATCAGGATTAGATCTGAATAATGAGCAATAAATACTTATCAGTTTCAACATTATCCCCGTTCACAGCTGAAGTCAAATATAAATGACTTTCTCACTATAATAGAACCTGTTAGAACTTGCAATATATTAGATTGTTATATTAATTGTTGCCTCAACGTAAAGAGGCCTTACCTGCATGCTTTCAGCAAAATACGCTGAAGGATCTGATTAAGTTTGACAGCAGTTCCTGTGCGACGGTCCAGGTCTTACCTGTTTACTCTAATATACACCTGCTGGGACTGTAAACTTTGGACTGAATGACCCGGATCAGATTTTATACCTAATTCAGTGAAAGTGCAGCTTTTTTACCTCCTAAAGATGAAGAACCAGGTTTGAATCTTAGGCATCTGTTGTAAAAACTTTACCAAGCCTGTGAGCATAATGATTAACATGGGAGCAGCATATCGAAGACACACAAAGACATCCCATTGAAATGTAATTGATTTGGATGCAACATGTTTTAATGTGTACATCAGGCCAACAGAGCACAGAAACAGATTTTCCCAAGAGTCTTAGCTGCACAGGAAGCTTTTCAACCCAGCAGTCAGGAGATCAAGCAACGCCTCTAATCCTCAGCTAAACAACGCAAGTTTAGCTCTTTAACCTTAAAATCAGAGAACAAGTCTCACATGGAAACTAGCTAGACAAAAATAAGAAGCATTTTACTATTTTATGTATTCTTTTTTAAATTTAAGCATAAGGTGACAAAACCAGGTACACTCTCATAAATATTTCACTGTTTTATATCACTATAAATTCTAATTTATATTTAGGATAATTTTTACACTGACCTATTAAATAAACATTTCATGATGCGTATTCATTTGTATAATAAATCTAATTTATTTTAAATAGGCCTACATGAGCATCAGGTTTATTTATTTAGTATTAAGTATACTTATTAGAAATTCACACTAATGAATGTATTTATTTAAAAAACAAAGTGTGTTGAATCACATAAAGGTAACCTGATATTAAGCAATTAGGCAATAACCTTTAACTATGATTTCCCTCATTAGTTTTAATTTTTCATTTAGTATACTGCAATAATTCTAAATACATAAACCTGAAATTATGTATTTCAAATAAATAAGTGATATTAAAATAATTAATATGCATAATGTAAGATTTATTTAAAAAGGCATAATAAAATTAAATGGGAATTTTTTGTGCTTTAAAATTACATAATTATTAACATTTAGATGAAATATTTTAAATTCATTTTTATTAATACTTTTTTTTTATTTAGATAATTATTTCTAAATCCCTTTCAGTTGTTAACATAACGTACAGTTATTAACAGCTAAAATAGAGTCAGAAAAAAAAAATTAATAACGTTGTACACAGAGATATTTTGATTAAAAATATCCAAATAAAATTAATGCAATTTTTTTTTATCACAAGCTACCAACCGCTTTATTAATGTAGTACTAAATCCCACCAAAAGGTGGCGCCAGAGTACATTTAATGGCTGCAGCGCAGGAGACGCTCAAACCGCTGACAGAACAATCCAACTATTCCTGCAAGTTGATCTGGACTTTGTTTGGTCACATCTTTTGTAGAAAATATTCATTTCATAACGTTCTTTTTTAAACAAACAAGCCAAACAATATTAACGAAACATTTTTATCAAATTGACAAGAAATCTTTTTTATTTTATTATCTATAGTTATAATCTTTTTAAAGCAGTGAATTCAGATGATGATTCTGAAAACAGTACATTTCCTCTCTTTTTTATTTTTATAAATACAAATTACACAAGTGAGAAATCGTGATATGATTTCTGGAAAACTGAACTCCTTTTGTTTTGTTCTAAATCCGTGAGGATGGACACCTGGGCCATGCGCCTTTACGCGCAGTCACTACGCTCATTAACAAAAAGTGAGGGAAAGTTTATATAAATCGGCTAAAGCTGAAGAAAACTTAAGATTTTAACCACTGAGTATAAATTTAGTGTAATTTCTTAAGAAAGTGCATCTGATGGGCAGATCTAAATTAAGTGTAGCGAGAGAGGGTGTGAGAAAGGAGGGGAGGGAGACGGGGGAGGGAGTTATCCTGCCTTTGCATCTTTGCCCGGCAGTGCCCTGCACTCTCACTGGAACCTCCACACAGAGCCGGACGGGAGAAAAAAAAACAACAACACTTTTTTAATTTCACTTCTTGAAGCTGGCAGCTCCCCCGGCTGGGCGTCACTCCTACAGGAGCGCAGAGAGTCTCTCATTCCCTCCCGTCTCTCCTTGAGCGGAGCGCAAACAGGAGTTCCACCAAAGTCTCCGACGCGCAGCGGAGATGGTGACTTTACAGCCGGGATCTGAAAGCAGCCCCAACTGATCTACTTCTTCCTGACCCGCAGTGCGTCACCTTCAAACCCCATAAGAGTCTCCAAAGTTTCCCAGAGTCTGCGCAGCGCACGTGGAAGAAGCGAGTCCAGGTAAGAGGAAAAGCCGCTCCGCTCCGCTTATCTCTCCACTGCGCTCACATAACAAGCCGCGATGACAATAACAAGCTACAGATCCAGCCTGTTTAAAGCTTAACTGATTGTAGCTGTAAAGAAAAACACCCTGAACTTTTATTTCACGCTTAATCCGGAAGATTAAACCAAGATCCCCGTTTTATAATCCTAGTTTATGCAGTAAACATCTCCTAAAAATACTTATTTAACCGCAGCAACAATGTTATCAATAAGTTACAACGCTTTTTAATGTTTCTCTCCTTTTACACTAAAACATAAATAAATTCGCGTCGTTTTTTAAAATGGGATTTTAAATAAAAACAGTCATGATCCCAAAGCGCACAGAAATGAGCAGAACTTTTAATTAAAACTCAGCTGGATTAAATATTCAATTATAAAACCAGAAATACGCACAAGCAGATTAAGATTTTTTTTAATTATTATATATATTTTTATTTATTAGAAATTAATAATCTGTACTGTCTTTAATTCCATCAAGTTGAGAAATTTCTTTTTTTTTATTTTGCAGGGAACAAATGTTTTATTTAACGAGTCTTTTATTGTTATTATGAACATTATAATATAAAAATATTCTTATATTTATTTCTTAGAACCTATCCAGCAGTGGCCTTCTTCAGGTCTGAGCATTTACAGAATGTGGGCTCTAAAATTAAACAAAAGGCCCTTTAATCACTTATCAAAACCAACCTTTATATGATCCTACCGTTTTGTTTAAAAATTAAGAAACTATTTCAAATTCATAAATGTTAAAATAAATAGTTTGTGTAGAAAAAATACAAACGGAGGTTTGGGATTATTTTTAAAAGGTGAGAAGATTAGAGAAGTAAGAGTGCATTATTTATCTAGATGTCATTTGCTTGTACTGCTACTGTGCCATTTAAAGATAGATTTCCATTCAGATATGATAACAGCATCAGAAAGATTTCTTTGGGTTACCCAAATGTTTTGTTGAGGCAGTCCTACTTTCAAACCCAGAAACACAAGATGGAGAGAAAAGCAGGGTCACATCTTAAAGCTCCAAAAAGGTCAGAAAGGTTTGACCCTGGAAGAATGTGTGGGTCGAAAATGAGAGAAAACTGCAGCGGAGGAAAAAATAGTATCAAGTTTTTTTAAACTGAGAAATGAAGCATGTTTCTCAGCTTACAACTTTGGAGGTGAGCAAAAACAACAGAAATAAAAACAGCAGCAGATCTCTGCGTTACGCCTGCAGTCCAGCAGTTTGAACTTGTGGTGCGTGCAGGGGAGGGGGGGTGGTCAAGGTGAGGGGTGCAGTTTCTAATCCTGTGATCGTCCAGCTTTCAGCACACTGCTGTGAGGACGAAGAGGAGGAGGAGGAGGTTTTGCCCCAGAGTTCCCTGTGAGGATGATGGGACAGGGGGTACAGGAGGACAAGGCGCACGGCAGTGGGGTGGAAGAGGGCGATAAAGCCACTTCAAGGGTGTTGGCCGTGTTCAGAGCTGCACTACACCTCTGAGATAAGCCTCTGGCCGCCCGCAGATAAGAAGCTTTCAGAGTAACAGAGTGAAAGAAAGAGAGAGAGAGGGAGACCATGCATGAAAGACAACAATGAGTTTTAAAACCCACTGAAGAGGAAGTGCAGGTCCAGACAGCCTCTGATTTCTAACATTCCTCATCCCAACACTTTAATCACTTTTGGAAGTTTGGTGAGAAAATGCGCCATTTCCCAGGATTACTCTGAATGGTTTAAACTCATCCTTTCTTTTCTTTTCATTCCGTGCGCATCTACTACCCCCTTTTCTTCTCCTCAGAGTTCATTTCGTGCGCATCAAACCCCTTTTCTTCTTTTCAGAGTTGTAATTGGGCCCCTGTTTGACAGATCCTCCTGCTGCCATGTTCAGGCCTGCCCTCGCTGTGCCGGGCTGGGCCTGTGCACTAAATCACAATTCCCTACAAGCTTTTTTTTTTTTTTTTTATTGTTTGGACACTGGTTGAACAATTTATAGACACCCCTGCCCAACCCCACCTCCCGCGGCCCCCACCGCACGCACACCTCTGTTGTAAGTGAGAGTGTCTGTGAAAAACAATCCGGGCTGATCTCCTATGGCATTTTGTTTGGAGCAGGTGCTGCGGGCTGAACTTCCCTCATAAGGTAAAGTGGCATTAGAGCGTCCAAATGGCAGACTTATATATAGGCTGCCAATTCAGCACATTGTTCCGGCCTGCATGGCTGCGCTCACCCCGCGCTGTCTGGACTGAGGGGAGACCCACACCCCCTTCCTCTTCCTCCTCTGTGGGAAGCAGCACTGACGGCGAGCGATCAGGCCCGTCCATTCAGCAGCTGGTCACTCTGTGGTCCATTGTGGCCGCTGGAAATCACAGCCATCAAGCATGAATGAGAAAAGTTGTTCAACATATCTCTGGGCTCCGCAGCCTGGGGCGACATGTGGCCCTTTAGTCTGTACAGAGTGGATCAGAAGTGAGCCGTGACTTTATAAAGAAAGGAGGTGGCAAGGAATCATTGTTGGAAATCAATGTTTTTTTTTAACTTAATTTCAATTCCACAATGGAAAAAAACTAAAGAAAGTCCAGGGGTTGGTCCTGAAAATATCTAAATGTTTCTTTAATTATGATATTAGAGGACAAGCTGTTGTGAATTGTTTTTCAAAGCATGCTCTGCTTGAATAATAGTCGAACTTTATTGATCTCACGATGGAGAAATTTACTTCTGCATTTTAACCCATCCCCGGGGAGCAGTGGGCTGCCATTGTGCGGCGTCCGGGGGAGCAGTGTGGGGTCAAGGGTCATGCTCATGGAGCTAGAGTGCAGAAGTGCAGACTGTGGGGATCAAACCGGATTCTTGCAACCTTCTCAGAGCACAAGAGCACTGCTCTAACCACTAGGCCAACACTCCTACACTTTCAGGACATCATAATGATAATCCCATCTCTGTGTAGAAATACATGTGTGTGTATGTGTATATATATATATATATATATATATATATATATATATATATATATATATATATATATATATATATATATATATATATATATATATATATATATATATATATATATGTATAGCTTTTAAAATTGATCAGTTTTATTTCTACATTTAGGTTTCAGAATGAAACCGAATTATTATTTGTACCAGAAAGGTGAAACAAAACACTTTAGAGTCGGCAAACAATTACTTGGAAACAACCTTTCTAGATCACCTAATGACAGCTGATCTATTTTCATACATGAATAACTTTCATAAAGACAAATTGTGAACACAATGACTAAACAGAAACGTACAGTAAAACTCATGAACTGTTACTACAGAGATGCTTCCAGAAGGATTTTAAGGGGTTGGGACGAGCAATAATTGGGACTTTAATCTATGAGTGGTGTATAATAAGTTCAGTTGTATTACCTTTTGTTTTCTGGTGGTAAAATGACTCTCTGGATAAAGATGCTCATCTCTGGTTTATTATTTTTATTTATTCTTAAAATATTTCAATAATTGATTTAGGTTTCTATTTTTAATGTAAAACCTTTAAAATGGCCATCTTTCTGTCTGCGCCTCTTTTCCAGCGCAACATTAATTAAAAACGGTCTGATTTTCTTTATAATATCATAGAATAAATGAATCTATCTTTAAATTGAGTTCTGTTCTGAAAATATTAATTTCCGCCTGGTATGAGGATTGGATGTCTTTCATCCTGCTGGATGACGCTCTAAGAGGCCTTCTGCTGTCTGGATTTGAAGCAGGAGAACAGAAGATACCTGACCAATAAGATGTTTTTGCCATCCCCTCCAGCAGTAGAGCTGTTTTATTTATCCTCGTTACCAAGCTCTACATCTTCTATCCAAACATGGTGTTGTAGATGTAAGAGCTTCCAGATGTTTTGTTTGTCGTTCACCTTCATCGTTTGCGGAAAACCTCCAGATTCACCATTTTCAGCCTGTGGCTGATCCAGAGAGTCTTAATTATTTGTTGTCGGGCTGTTTGAAAGCGACACCAGCCCAGAAATTGGACATGTGTTGTACAAACACAAATTAAACATTTAGCCCTAAGTATTTCTCCCTGGATCCTAAGTGCATATTAGTCAGCCTATACTTATCTCCGGCCCAACGGCACACCCAAATTGCAGTGTTGCTGTTGAAAAAGAAAGGCTTGGGCCCCCGAGAATGAGCACTTGAAGCACGCTGGCAGATGCCCGTAAGTTTTTTTATAACCTCAAAGCAATCTTAGGTGTGTGTGAGACAGAAGACATTTATGTCTTTTGTGTTTTTGTGAGCATCGACAGAAGAATTCGACAAACATGTGACTAATTGTGCTCATGCTCCTTTACACGTCCAGCCGATGGAGTGTGTGCACCGTGCAACATCTCTCCCTCCTTGGTGCGGATGCCTCTGCTGAGCAGATGCATTTGTCACTGCACTCTGCTTGTGAGGGAGTTTGCTTTCCTCAACTCCGGGAAAGGAGCGATTCTTTTGTTCCTTCCAAGGTGGTGAAAAAACTCCCAAAAAAAACAGCCATCATTTACATTAAGGCCCCTAAATCCTCTCATCTACTTACTTTTAAATATTTTTGTGCTTGTGATAATGATCTATCCTGGCTGATTTATTTGAAATCCTGACACCAATATCTCTCCCATGCTCTGCATTTGTTTTCTACCTTTTTTATGGTTCATTTTTCTTTCACCCCTGACCTTTCTCTCTGTTCTTTCTGGACTGTAGGCGTGTGTACATCTGCCTTTCAATAAATACAGCACCAGCATCACCCATCAGATGTCAATAAAATCAGATAAAAATTCCAACGAAAACAATCTATAACTAAAATAACACTTTTTAATCATTCGTTTATTATATAGACATCAGTAAAACCTATATTGAACTCCCTAGGTGTCGTTTTTAAGTGCTTGTCAAGAATATTTCCCCTTTTGGCTTTTATGCTAACAAGCTAATATCATTAGCTTAGTGTGAGGTGTGATGCTGTTTTTTGCT